TGACTGCCACAAACAAAGCTCAAATAAAGAGCAGGAATTTGGCAGTAATATTAAAATAGAAAAGAAATAACTGTAACCAAACACACCACTTGCATATAGTATTATCATTAATGTTGCCTTCAGCTGTAGAAAAGGAGAAACAGTAACATTACTGTTTTCATGAATGTTGCTTTAAGCTTTTCTGAAGCTTAAAGCGACATTCATATGATTTGCATGGAGGTGACAGTTGCGTTAAGTGCAGCAGGTCATCTATCACAGTAAATGTAAGGGTTTATTTTAATTTCGTTAATAGGTTGTTGCAGTTTCTTTGTAATGTTGACTTTACACAAACTGGATAGCAACACGTTTTTCAACTCCAGCAATCTAAACATCACCACACTGAAATCAAACCAGTCGTTGTCTGCTTTAAAAACTGCTAGCAATAATCAACAACATAAGTCTAAAAAAATGTGGATAAAAACAAGAAACATTTAGTAAATACATATTTGTGAAACAGATAGTTACATTACTTGGATTGTGAGGAAGATGAGGAAGATGAGGATCTAATGGATTCCTGGTTCCATAGTAGTAATAATCTGCATCATATGGAGTCTTGTAATTGTGAGGTACAATGGGAGGTAAAGGAGGAGCAACACTCGCAACCCTGAAACAGAGTTACCAACACTCCAGTGAGTGTATAGCAGGGCTGCTAATTTTATTCATTTAATCGAAGCAAATGTGAGCTACCTTGGGATGGTCACCTCTCCTAGGATGTTTGAGAAGTCTCTGTGGTAGTCCTCACTAAAATAGTCCAGTGAGGGGACACCTTGCGGTAATTCCATCCCATTTGAAGGCACAGTCTTCCCAGGCAGTTGTCTGAGAGCTGTAATCAAGTCCACCTGGGACTTTCCTGGGGGGGCTCTCTCATCTGCATTCTCAGTGGGTTTGCCATTTTCAAGACTTGGATTTAGGTGCTTCCCTTCTGCCTCTAGATCTTTTCCTAGCTTGTGAAGAACATCCTGGCTCAGGCTGTTATAGTGACGATTCACAGACCCTAGCTGCTGTATCCGGTCAGGCTGGAACAGATTACGTGTGGTCCAGAACACAATCATCAAAGAAAGACAACATATATATCAAGGATAAGATTAGGTGGCACTTCTTTCAAGTAATTTCTCCAAGACTCCACAACCTATGAAAGTTATAATAACAAATCCAGACCTGACACAAACATTATGTTTCTGCTGTTTAAAGGTTTTGCTAGCCAGATCTTTTAATGCTATTCTCCTACCTCTTTTTCAGGGTCAACTCTCAGCTCAAGTCTTTTCTCCCTAAAGAGAAAAAAAGGACAGAGAACAACGTCAGAGGCTTGATGTTGTTTTCTATGTCTTCTTTTTTATTCAGCTGCTCCCTTTAGGGGTCTCCACAACATGATCAACAGCCTCCATCTCACCCTATCCCTAGCATCCTCCTCTGTCACACTCCTCCGCAAGTCCTCCTTCACGACACCCAGAAATCTTCTCTGTGGTCTTCCTTGTTTCCTCCTGCCTGGCAGCTTCATCTTCAACACCCTTCGTCCAATATATGTGCTATCCCTCCTCTCCACATGTCCAAACCATCTCATCCTTGCCCCCTCTAACTCTCATCACTTCTCTTCTTAACCTAGCTTCGACAGGTCTTCTCTAAGTTAAGAAGAGAGGTGACCAGCGATCAGTAGTTTGTTATCATGCTTTGTAGATCATAAGGGTTGAGCTAGCTTAAAGGACTCTGATGAAAATGATGATTTTGAGAATAAATACTTACTCCATCTTCTTCCTCTGCTTTTCAGCAATTTGTCTCAGTAACTCCTGCCTGTATTGTTCTTTCCTCATCTGAGTTGTCTCCTGCTCTTCTGTTATTCCTGCATCAAGACGTAGAGTCATTAAAATACTGCTTAAGTTCTGAAATATGACTTTAATTGATAAATTGCATTTATTATCTGTGTAGTAAGAATGTTTTTTACCTATCAGCAGTCCAGTAGCAAAATCAGCCTTATCCTTCCTGACAGCAGATCTTGCAGCCATCTTCATGCTGGCTGGCACTTGAACACTATTGAATACAGATACACAAACAGAACGGGACTCTCCATAAGAGTCACCCAATTACTGACAGCATGTAAGGGTAACATCACTGCAATAACTTCCTCTTTAAGCCACACCCAGCTACGATTTTATGTCACACAGTGGCTGCAGAGCTTTGAGGGCTATAACTCAGAGACAGAGAGCAAAGGCTTGTGCTTCATCAATCCAGCTCTTCTGATAAACTCTAAGGTGAGCAATTTTTTGCCTGGAAAAGGGCCAAGGCTCACTCTCTATCACAGCACCTCATGTTACCAGGTTACTGAGTGTAGTTCAGGAACAATGAAATGCAACAGCAGGCAAAAGTGCTGAAGAGCAATAACTGAATATGGCAGCAGATACCAGTATAATCAATTATGGTACTGATGGTATTGATTCTGAAAATTTATGAGACTTTCCAGGGGGATGTTGTTGGCCGCCCTTGTCTATATGTGACCACTGTTTCATCATCATAAATCACATTGCTGCAAAACCTTTTGCCCAGGGCAAAGCATTTATAAGCTAACATTATTGCTAGTGTACAGTTAGGAGCTGAGATCATTAACAACTTTCTAGAAGCAGGGGTCAAAAAACATAAACTTGCTTACTCAGACTTCCAAATTGTGTCATTGGTCTTCTGATGAGAAACTGTAGGAGCCACTGTCTCCTTTATGTCCTGAGAAGCCCTGCCATAGAAACAGACAGGACAGTGAAATTTGGCAGAGGAGCAATCTCATCTCATTTATATGGTAACGGATGAAACTACCAGTAATTCAAATCATTTTCCAGAAAAAAAAAGGATACTTCTTCACTCTGCACTCTTGCGCTGTCATCTCCTCTTTGTACCCAGGCTCTTGAGTGTGCCTGTCGTTCCTCCTCCTGTATCTCAAATCAAACTCATCCCCTCTGTCTGTGTTTAGCTCGTCTTCAGAGCTGTAGGGCTCTGCTCTGAAGATTTGCCAGCGTCTTCGCCGCCTCTGAACTGGACTCCTGATTTCTCCATCGTTGAACACCTCGGTCAGAGTGGAAGCATCTTTCCTCTCATTGTGACTGGGGACTATGTTTGTGTGGGTATGTTTGTGAGGGGATGACAGGGGAGAGGCTGGGGGAGAAATTTTCAAGCCATCTGAAGTGTGAATCTGTCCAGGCTGAAAATGAGAATGTGAGGAAGAAATTCAATGTGAAAAAAGATTTACTTTGTAACAGAGTGCTTTTCGTTATTTGTCTTTCAAGTACTCAGTGAGCTGTATCTACCTGATAAATGGAGAAGCATTTCTACTGATAGAGAATCCTTTAAAGTGTGCTATAAAAATTGCATGGATTATTGCACCAAACACACTAGCGTTATTGTGCACGATCTGCCTATTGAGTCATCAGTCTTCTTACCTTGGGACTGACAAAAGACGTTCTCCTCTTTACCGTTCTGATTTGAGCTTGTTCTTGGAGGAAGAGGTTGTATTCTTTATTTCTCTCCTCTCTCAGTTTTTCCTGCAAGAGAAAAAACAAAAAGTCAGAGTCAACCAGCCACACCGCTCAGTTAAGCTCATGTGACACTTAGAATTTAAGGAAATACAAAACTTACAGAATACCATCTTCTATCAAAATAAGATACATATTTCTGCTTGCACACATTCGGGTGACGATGAGGTTAAGGCTATATTTTTTGCCTCAATATTTCAAAAATGCTTGCATCAATACTTATCAACATTCAGCTTGTCGTGCACATATAGACCCCTGAAATCCCTCTTAACTTTTGTTTCTAAGTTCACGGTCTTATATAAAGAAAATCAGTTGCCATGAAGCGCGCAGCACTGTGCAGTCAGCAGTTTATATCAGTTCTAGCTGAAGAGCTAAAGCTCTACTTTGATGACCGAATGAATGCAGGCACACCTTTACAGATATCCTCTCATCAATCGGTAGTGACACTCCATCAAGTTGTTGTTGAGGCTCTTTACTTTTCAGATCTGTTTTCTGCAGGAAGAATAAGAGATTTGCTGTGTGTACGCAAATGCAACACAGAGGCAACTTAGTTAAACACAGACATAAACTCACCAGCCACTTTGCTAGGTAAACCTTTTCAGCTGCTCATTAATGCAAATACAAAATCAGCCAATCACATGGCGGCAGCTCAGTGCATTTGGGCATGTAGACAGGGTGAAGACGATCAGCTGAAGCTCAAATCAAGCATCAGAATGGGGAAGAAAGGTGATCTAAGCTACTTGAATGTGGCATAGTTGCCGGTGACAGATGGACTGGTCTGAGTATTTCAGAAACTGCTGATCTACTGGGTCAGTCTGAATCCAGGGAGCAGTAGTTCTCTGGGTGAACATGTCTTGTTGATGCCAGAGGTGAGATAAGGGAAGAATAGAAATGATTGCTTCAAACTGATAGGAAGCAAACAGTAACTCAAATAACCCTTTGTTACAACCAAGGTATGCAGAAGACCATGTGAACCTTGAAGTAGATAAGCTAAAGCAGATAGTGGTGGTGTAATGGTGTGTGGGATGTTTTCTTGGCAGACTTTGGGCCCTTTAGTACCAACTGATGATACTACGTATACAGCCTACGTGAGTATTGTTGCTGACCATGGCCATCGTTGTATGACCATGAGTATCCATCGTCCGATAGCTGATTTCAGCAGGAAAACACTCCACCATGTCATAAGGCAAAATCTTGTTCAATCTATGCCATTTAGATTGCCAAAATGGTTCTAATGTGGCATTAGGAAGGTATACCTAATAAAGTGGCTGGTGAATGTATTTTCATAACGATTTCTGATATGTCATTCCAGATAAAAAGTTCCCGTGTTCCAGACAATTTTAAGATTAGGATTTAAGATTTATTAAGTCTTAAATGTAACACTAATAAAAAGGAAATGTCTAAAATGCACATTTAGGTGTTTTATTCCATTCTGTCAATTGGATATGTATGCAAATTAGCACATATTTAATCTATGTTAATCGGACACCAATTTTTTTTTTAAATAATTCAGCATAAGCTTCAAAAAACTTGCAATACATAAAATTATTATCTTAATATAAGTAATCAGCTGTTGAAATTTCATTGTGACTGTGATTCATTGTGCTTTTCCTTCTACAGTGAGCTACAAATTTTCACTTCGGTGGCACTTACATAAAGCAAAGATTTCCAGTTTTATTTAACTTGATGTTCTGACTTTAGATTAATTATTTTTCATATAATGTTTAGTCTACTATTTAACAATTTATTACAACAGTGAATGAAAACAACTCAGTAAAAGGTTTATACTCTAATGCCTTTGTGTGGTGCTCTGTTGTTTATTTCTCTTTTTTTATATTGAGATTGCTTGTTTTTTTTTTTTGTTTTTTTTTAATTGTGCATCTTTTACCTCACTAAGCCAGTTTGTCTTGGCATGTTTTTTAAATTTTATTTTAATAAGCTATTCTGATTTATTTAAGACCTTTTCTTATAGGTTATATATAATTATATGCCTGATGTAACAGTAAATTCCTATTGTTTTGGCTAAATGAACTATATATTATTTTATCTATACATGTTCAGATTTTTATTTTATTTATTTATTAAGTTATTTATTTGTTTATTTATTTATTTATTTTGCGTCGTCACACCCTGGATATATAGTTTCTGTAGTCCAGCTGGAGCTCCCGCTGAAGTTTCTGCTTCTTCCTTTCATACTCGGTACCCAGCAGATGGCTTAAGCCAATACCTGGGAAATACGGCATATATAGAGTAGACTGTACAATAAAAACAGGAAACTATTCACTAAACACTACAGGCTTAAATAATGCAGCCAATTCACTACTACAGCCTTGTACAGTACCTCTGTCGGGATTGGGGTTTACTCCTAGAGCTGCTGCTGAAGTCATATTTACAGCATTGTGTAATTTGCACCATCTGACCCTGACTGTGGAGAAAAACTCGCTGAAACACCGATTTGTTTATTAAAAAGCAACATGTGATTAAAAGAATTCCTTTGTTTGTTTGTTTGCTTGTTTGTTTGTTTTTACTCACCGGTTGATTAGTTTACACCTATAAACGTTGCTTCGCAAGTCCTTGATCACATATGGCGGGGAGTTTTTTCTTCATGCTTCTCAAAAAAAACGTCCAATCGTGATACACAATACACCCAATAAGGCAAACACTTGACTTAATGTTTATATACCCCATAATGGGGTATATGAACATGCGCGTCTATTTTAAAGCTCGGATGTAACTCTGGCTAGACAAATAACAAGACCAAATAACACGATATATATCAATAATTCTTAAATTTCCACACACAGCTCAAACCTATCCGACCGATCTTTCACAGCGAGCCCAAAGCGTCATTCCGTTGCCATGGGCAACCATGACACAAACCTTCTCCTGGGAGAGGCTAGCAAACACATCTAACACAAACATTCTAGAAAAATATGTCTAATATAGTCCAAATGTTAAGTCTTTAATAACTCTGCAATATTTAACACTAGGATCTGAATTTTCTGTTTCTTTTTAATCGTCTTTAAACAACATAAAACCAGGCAAAGTTTATTAACAACATGTTAATAAACTTAACATACTGCTGTTGTCTAAAAATGATACCATCTAGCCTTAACCAGCAGCCCTTTAGGCTAATTAATAGCCCTTTAACTTACTAGCTACGGCCTTCCTCCAGAATAGTATTGCCTAATTATTGAATACTAGCTTCAGTTTTATTGACTCATTATATACTTCAGCTCCCAGTACAGTGCCGAGGCTCTAAGAAAAAAGCCCTGACAAATAGATGTAGGTACCTTTCTAAAAAGCGCCGCTAGATGTCAGTGCGTCCCCAGAAGTTAGTTTGACGTCGTCGCAGGACTAAACCATGGCTTGCGTCACAGGGGTAAATATATTCTAATAAGAGTAATAAATAAGATACAAATATGATTAATGAATGCAATATCACCATATATCATTGCGTTGTAGTGTTAAGAGATGGCATATAACAAATAAACACATCAGTGGTAAATATGTGTAATATGAAAACGAACGTCCCCGTCGATTTCACTTTGTTGCGTTGGTATCGCTCACTGTCATGGCTCCTTGAGCGAGTGGCTATCAGCTCCTAAAACGATATCAAAATCTTTGGGGGAGAAATACAGCACTTCTTCCCTTATTTAAAGAAAAAAATCGGGGTTTTTTACGGCTCGGGTTTTGCTTGGATACATTATTAACATGGCGGGGAGCAATACGGCTCAGAAAACATGGGAGCTGTCTAACAGCATGCAGGAAGTTCAGAGCATTGATGAAATTTACAAATATGACAAAAAGCAACAACAAGAAATCCTCGCTGCGAAGCCATGGACGAAAGAGTGGGTGCAAAACAACATTGTGGTATTTAGGTTTCTGTCTAAGTATTTAGGTGATTGCTGAGCTGCCGTATTCGTATTAAATGGTGTTCGTTGGTAGTTTATTGTTGGAACATTAGTGGTAGCTTAGCTACAAACTAGCAAACCGGTCTTTATGTTAGTAGCAGTACAGCAAACTGGATGTGTATCTACAATATACGCACTGCTTAATATTATCTAACATCAATACAAATACATTTGTCATTGTTCACCTTTTAGTCACCACTACTTCAAGTACTGCAAAATCTCAGCTTTGGCCCTGTTGAAGATGGTAATGCATGCCAGATCTGGAGGAAACCTGGAGGTGATGGGCCTCATGCTGGGAAAGGTGGACGGTGAAACCATGATCATCATGGACAGCTTTGCTTTGCCCGTGGAGGGCACAGAGACCAGAGTTAACGCCCAGGCGGCAGCCTATGAATACATGGCTGCCTATATTGAAAATGCCAAACAGGTGGGACATTGACTTCCACGCACATAAAGAGCATCGTGTTTGAATTATGACTTAGAAAGAAGGAACCGAACTATAGCCTAAATAAAATCAGACTTGATTTCATCTGAGACATTAACTTAATACTTTCTGTGAATGTCACTGGCTTACAACCATTTTTTTTTTTACTTAAGGAAGAGTGTTTCAGCTGCTTTAGAAAAATCTTTAACTTAATATCAATAAGATTTTTACAAACTATAAAGGGATTATTTGAAGCATTACTGTCTTTTGATAGTATTAATATTCTGATAACCATATATAACCACATTTGTCTGCCTTTTCCCATGCTGAGTATACGATTACTTACCTCTAACCTATTTTCAAGCACTTTATTGTAGTTAATGTTGCAACCCAAGAAGCAGGAATACAGTATAAATATATTATAAGGTTAATATGATTTGCACTCTTTTATATTATCTAGGAATAATTGTAAAGTTTTGTGTAAATTGTACTATGTTATGAGGTTTCTCCAGTCCCTGTTTAACATACACTATCCAATACTCTAATGAATTCAAGTGACTACACGAATGTGGAGACATTTTTTCTTAAAAGAAAAAGGAAAGATAGGAAAATGCTACTTTAGATAAGGATAAAAACTGCAAACTGTGTCAAATACAATCATGTTACTGACATCTTACACTGCCCTAAAGAAGATATGATTTTATATTATCTACAATTCCTAAGGTTGGCCGGCTGGAGAATGCGATAGGCTGGTACCACAGTCATCCAGGCTATGGATGCTGGCTCTCCGGCATAGATGTCAGCACCCAGATGCTCAACCAACAGTTTCAGGAGCCTTTTGTGGCTGTTGTGGTAAGATGGGAAATAGTAACCAGTTTTATTTTGAAGCTAATGGCTTTTTGTTTTTTTTTAACTGTGACTTCTATTTTCCCACTTTTCAAATGGAGCTTATCCCATATCCCACATCCCATTAATGTGGGTGTAACTGAGAAGGGGGGAAGATTACTGATGGATGAGTTGTAGATTTGCATGTAGTACTGATGAATATTTTGCTATTACAACCACATTTGCTATTTACACTTCATTTGGTTTAGCGGCGCTTAAATGCCAGGGGCGTCGTGTAATTAAGTGTGTATTTTCAGCACACTGACAGCCCCAGTAAAAAGGCTCCTGGTGGCCACATTTGAGTAGTCCCTAGAGGTTTGTGTGACCCCTGACTCTGTTTTCCTGTTCTACTGTATCTTGCTTCCTATAGATTGATCCCACTCGGACTATTTCTGCAGGGAAAGTCAACCTCGGTGCCTTCAGAACCTACCCGAAGGTAAAGCAAAGACTTTAGCAGCAGTCCTCTTTGGTCTTTAGTAAAATCACAAAATATCTGTTTTTTCATTCTTCTTGTGCATAGCTGTATTTGATTATTTGAGACGTTTTTATATACTGATTTTATTGTCGTGTATTTGTTAAGAATATATTTATAATTTTTTTTCAGTCACTCTGTATTCTTAATTCCTTATTACTGTAGTAACTACTTAGTATTTCCTTTTTGGATTTTTAGGGTTACAAACCCCCTGATGAGGGACCCTCAGAATATCAGACTATCCCCCTGAACAAGATTGAAGACTTTGGTGTACACTGTAAACAGTGAGTATTTATATTTGCTACAGTATTGTACCGGATCAAATACTTGTGTAGCATGTACCGTATCACACATTTTTCATTGTTTACTTTATTTTCAGTACTTGCATATGCGCTTCTTTTTTCTCTGTCGCTCTCCTTTTTAGGTATTACGCCTTGGAGGTTACTTACTTTAAGTCCTCCCTCGATAGAAAGCTCCTGGAACTCCTTTGGAATAAATATTGGGTTAATACCTTAAGTTCTTCAAGTCTCCTCACGGTATGTAGGGCATTTCAAAAATCAAAATGTTTGCTATTTGTTTGACATTTTGATTTATGGTTAATTATTACTCTATAACTCATTTAGACATGTGGTCACCAGCTTGTGATGTCATGATTTATTGCTGCTTATTAGCTAAGCGTCCGTGTTTGTTGATTTTAGTAATAAGCTGTACATGAACTTTTTTTCACAATGGAGATAAGTATTAAAGCTAGAGCCGACTCCATGATGCTCCTTTTCCCCCTTGCTGTTCGTTCGCCCCTCATGTAAATTTGCATTGTGGATGCAGGAACTCTGTCCTGAGCTTGACTAAACAGTCTAAATAGGCATCAGGCTTGTCCAAACAGTTGGTTTTTTGGCGTTTTGGATGAAGATGAATTGACTAGATGTCAAGAACGGGCTGCTTTATGGGTGACGGGCTTTGTCAGTTGCTACACTGTCACCCCAGCCAGGGGCCTCCCTTGTCATTGTGTTTTAATTACCTTTTCTACCATAAACACGGCCTCACCTTAAGCAAACCTTTCACTGACTTCTTTTCATTCACCACAACCCATAAAGTGTTCCTCTGGCTTTTTAGACATATTTGTTGCCATTCTGCAAAAAAAGAAGAAAAAAAAAGGAAAATCTGTTATCAAGCTTTTAGTGGCAAATTGTGCATGAGTCAGTTTCTGTGTGTTTGTGTGTTGCATGGTCAGAACTCGGACTACACCACGGGCCAGGTGTTCGACCTGTCAGAGAAGCTGGAGCAGTCGGAGGCCCAGCTGGGCAGAGGCTGCTTCATGCTCGGATTAGACACACACGACAGAAAGTCTGAGGACAAACTGGCCAAAGCAACACGAGACAGGTGGGTTTTATTTTCGATAGAATGCTTTAGTAAAATTAAATGTCAGCTTAATTTATTTTGGGCACTGTAACTCAAGTATGATATAATATGACTGTAAATGTATAAATAATATCCCACTAGATGAATAAAGTGGTCAGTGGTGTTGCTTTCAATTATGTAATCATATTTTCTACTTGTGTGATATATATTATTTTTTCCACTGACCTTATAACTGGCTTGTTTTCTTTTATTTCGAGCAGTATTTTTATCACATCCTCAAATTAAATGTCAGTCTTTTTTAAATCTGGCATTGATTAGGTGTTAAGGACAGTAGTTTATTTTTGTGTTTGTTGCTAAATTAATCTAAAATTTGTTTCTTAATCAGACCAGTGTTGCTTAGCAGTAATAATTCAGTGCTTTAAGATACTTTTTAATCAGTTATTATGCAAACTGACCCCATTTGGCTATTTCAAATTTCTTGATATAGTTTCTAATAGAATCCAGCTCAGTAATGTCTTTATGAACTCCGCCAAGGTGGTCATGTTTTTGGGAGCATTTTCGTGTGTCATTCTTTCTGTGTGCAAACAGCTTCAAAATGTTTGAATTCATTTAGATAAACTTTGTTGGGGTGTAAGGTGGCATCATGTTAACAATCCATTAAGATTTGCCTTACATTCACTCAGGCCTTCAAGGTCAACTTAAAGATTTATTGCCTGAAAATTGACAAAAAGCCTTATAACTTAGAAGCTATGATTCTTACAAGTGTGGTATAAAAAGCACCATATAAGGATTTAAAATATCATGTCATATTTGACCTCTGACCTCTCCTTCAGGGTCAATAGATTGATCTGAAGGTGATAATGATGCTATATAGAGAGATTTAAAACAGTTTCTTTCAGCAATTGTTTGTATTGACAACATAGAGGCATATTAGGAATGACATATAGAGTCTAAGTAACACGTTACTATATTATGAATTTGTTATGCACATTACAATAATAGGTTATAACTGTTTAAATACGTAATTTGAATACACAGAATATGTTAGAATAAGTATTTTTTAAAAACAAACTTCTGCTGAAAAACCTTTTTTTTTCACTTTTTTATTATTAAATATTTAAACTAAACAATGAAGTAAATGCTACACTTGTACTATATCCACATGAATTTAAAAAACGGGTTTCATCAGGGCAAATAATGTTGATAGTGGTTTCAGTTTCATCTTTTAGTGGCTCTATAATGTAGTGGTTTAAACCTTCAGCTGTCAAGCTAAACATCCCCGGTTTCAGGATAAGACACAGGAAGGCCAAATCACACACGGCGAGCTACCTGCTGTGGCGACCCCTCGTGAATACGAGTGCAGCCGAAAGTAGCTTTAGTTTCAGTGATATCTGATACATACACCCACTACGAATGTCTGCAAACAGCAACGTTACCTTTAAAAAGTCTGCTGACACCACTTTAAATGTCATATCCCTTTATGCTGCATCTTTTTTTCTTTTCTTTTTTTCCCCCTGGATTAAATGCTGATCTTCATTTCTCTCTGTGGTTTATTTTAGCTGCAAGACAACCATAGAAGCGATTCATGGTCTGATGTCTCAAGTCATTAAGGACAAACTCTTCAATCAAATCAACACGTCTGGCAATTAAACCTCAGCCACAAGGCCATTTGAATTACACCTGGAAATGTGTTCTTGTGCATGCCCGGTGCTTACTGATTCATGGTGTATGTTTAACTGCTAAGAGTAGCATCATCTGTTATTTCTCTTGGGAGTGCTTTTCTATTCATTTTTCCTTCATGTAGGTAAGAATTAGAAGACACGTGCAAAAAATAAAACTTAAAAAAAGCAGCATTTTGTGTTTTTTGTTTTTTTTTTTGTTTCTTTGTTTTATATAAGGCAAAGTGTAGCTGGGACAGTGATCGGTTTCAGTGGAAGGTGGATTAGATGTACACTGCTGTCCAAATGTTTACTCTTTAATGCATAATATTATATTCTCAATGCCCAAGGCACGGCGGCATCTTTTCACACATAGCCCTGATTCAGCACATTTAAATAACACATTGGTGTGGTCACATTTAACGCTCAGTCTAACCTAGCACCAGTCAGTCATTCAAGTGGTGTAGCCTGTCATAGCATTACATAATGGAACAACAAACTACAGCTTCTGCTTAGGCTCAGCGGGAATCGACTGCCATGCGTGAGATGTCTCTGCGGAGTTGCTCCCAGCACAGTTTGGCCCTCGGTGGTACGCTGTGGCAGAGCGGCCAGCTTGTCAGGTTGTGGTGTGGCAGTGATGCAGGGCAGAAACAGAAGCCGTGCACACTGGGGTCCATTCACCCGACGCGCCTGCTCTCCATCGAAGCAGACACTCGCCGAGTCTGCCTTTCTTTCTTTTCCCTTTTTTTTTCCTGTTCCTTTGGCCTGAGGTTGTGTGATGTCTTTTTCTATGGTATTGTAATGGCTACATGTATATTTTTGATGTCATGTATTGCAGAGGAGAGAATCCCAGTGGGAGAGTGGAGGTGCCTGTTTTTTCTCATAAGCATGAGCTTTGGCACCACTTGCTATAATGATTTTACTTAACCATGATTTAACCCGTGTCTTAAAACTGAGAACTTTTGGTGTACTGGTTTACGAAGATGGAACTTATTAGATTAGATTTCATGAAGTTTAGGAATATGAAATCATTGAGTAAGGTTTTTGCACTCAGTCTACTGACTAGTTTGTATTTTCGCCAAATATTTAAATGTATTACATGTCTGACTGTCAGTGCTGAGGTGGTATTTAAAGTATGCACTTCTAAAATAGATTAACCTAATGTTTGGTCTTTCATGATTTAAGAAACATGTTGAACTTGTTGGATATGTAAATATTGTGATTATCACCAGATGGACATTTGTATGCATGACTAAAGCTGCAATAAGAACATTTATGTAAATTCTAATCAAGTCAAATTGTGGGCAGCCAAAAAAAATTAAACGATCCTTTTCAACAGATTTCTAATTCTGAAGTATGTTCCCGTTAGTACAAAAAGGTTTCTGCTTGCATGACTGTGAAAAAGAAACATCGTAAAATAAAATGATTTAAGAAGCGTTTTTAATGTATATGGCACTGCTTTGACAGATAGTTAAAAGCCTGCTGTTGTCCAATAGGCGGCATAGATCTAATGACCACACTAATCAGGAGATGGAAAGAGCAGTTTTGCTGTGAGAATGATTGATCCCGCTTCCTCCCCACCAAGGGCTGCTGCATAAGCAGAGGCAAGTCACTCCTTCAAAGGAAACTCAGGTCATGACAAAATTTAAAGTTTACCGACTTTCCCCTAAAATAAAAACATAAAAAAGCTTTTTTCAATCTGGAAGTTTTACTATCATGTTAGCTGTTCGGGACTTTTCAGTACACTAGTCCCCCAGTTAGCTACTTAATAGCCTACTTCCGCTTCGCTGGTGTTGCGCCAATTTCAGTGACCCGTGGAATTCTGTTGTGTCTCGCGGACGCTACTTCCGTTGTTTCCATAGAAACCATGTTCACGATCTCAAACAAAAAAGCCCAACACGCTTGAAAACTGTGTAGCTATAACATACGTTTTAAACCCCCTTGCCGGCGTTGAAAGGTAGGAGAATGCAGTTAACTATTTATATATTTGATTTTTACACCTGAAGAATATTTAGCGGAAACGTAGAACTTCGTGTTAGATGTAGTTAAGAGGCTAATATTGGGGCTATATTTGTTGTGCTAGCGAAGCTACACAAGATAAAAAGGACCCGATTCCTTCCTTTCACTGTTGCTTTGGAGTTTATCCACTTCAGTATGTTACTCCCTGCCCGTATGCACTGCTATAAGCGTGGATTTTCTTTGACAGTGACAAACCGCCGTCCCTGAAAACCCCAGGCCCAGGAGTGTTTGAGTTCAGTTATCGATCAGTGTCTAGTTTTCCTTACACCACCGACCTGAAGCCTTGAGATCAAGCGTGGATGAGACCTGCTGTCACATCACTCTGCTCTCCTCTCCCCAACACTATCTTTTAACTACACGCGTACACAGTTGTATACTTAATACAACCTAAGCTTAATACCTGAGGAAATTAAACTCAAAAAGTATAATTGTATACCTCACGGTCAGGTCATTTTAGTACACAAGCCTTATATAAAAACACAGCGGTCACCTAAAATCATATAATTTTCCATTAGTTATTTCAAACCATGACGTGATTAGGTTTTAGACCATTGAAATATTCAGAGGAAATATTTGTATGTTTTAGACACCGCCAACCCATAGTCACTGCTGTGGGCTGAATGCTTGGCTGAAGCTGAAAGGGATCCTCTCTGAAGCCGAGATTGTGACAAGCCAACATGGTACATCTGACCGTAGATCTGATTGCTAAGTCTAGAAAGCACTTCAAAAAGAAAAGGGGCCTCTCCTTCCCAGAGTACCTCAAGACACTCACCCACCTCCACTTTTCTAACAAGAATATTGAAGATATTGTAAGTAACCAGCATCTTTAACACTTCTTTAATTCTGTTTTTTCAATTTACTAATTTTAATGCCTAATTTTCTTGATTTTCAAGGGAGATCTTTCAATGTGTACAAACCTCACCGTTCTTTACCTGTATGATAATAACATCACTTACATTGGCAACCTCAGCTTTGCCTCCAACCTCACGCATCTCTATATGCAGAACAACAGCATAACCCATATAGATAATCTGCACAATCTGCAGAACCTCTCTAAATTGTGAGTAAAGTTCAACTGATTGGTGATAAATATATGAAGTGGGAGGTGTGTGTTTGAACATGTATGTTATTTTCGCTGCTCTGCAGGTATCTCGGGGGGAACAGAATTGCTGTGGTGGAGGGCTTAGAGCAGCTCCATCAGCTCAAAGAGCTTCATGTGGAGAATCAAAGACTGACACCGGGGGAAAAGTTGCTCTTTGACCCCAGGACTCTCGACTCCCTCGCTGTATGACCTATTTTTACTCTGTTCGGCTCACTAATAGTATCAGAACAAAACATCTCCCACACTTCCAAATAACTTAAGTTATCCTTGGTTGATTCATTATACGTTTTTAAGCTATCGAAAGACCAGACGAAGGTCTGACATTCCCTTTTCATGCACAAAGATGTGTGTGAGCTGTCAACCCATGTGTAGGTTATCACATCCAGTGAAAGAGAGATCTGAGATTTCCCCTGATCCGTGTAAGAGCAATATTGTGCAGGGTTTGATGATGTCAAAGAGATCTCTGTTGCTCCCTCTGGTCTGACAAATCAGTTGAGTCTGTTTGCTTCGTTTACTGCCCATGCTATGGATAAACACACCAGAAGTCTCAGCTTCTTGTTTGTTTAGATAAATTAAAGAAATTGCTGTGCAAATTTAAAGAGTTCCAGCGTTTTATAAATGAGCCATTGTGAAACTTCTAACCAGGGTGAACATTTTGCAACTGCACCACACACATATATATATATATGTAAAGACAACATATCCACATGCTTAAGAGTGCTTACAAGCGAATAGAGATAAAAGTAAATGTAGTTTGGACCAACTAGTACTGCTTCCTTTAAGCTCTGATATATGGTATTGCAGATATTTTCCTTGGGTGGGTGCAAATGATTTTTGTCTTTTCTTTGGAAGTTGCGTTGCATATTTGAATACCTGTAGTTTAATATCAAGTTGATTTGACCATAAAAAATATGTTTCATATATACGTTATAGTCCAGGATCTGTTTGTAGTAGTCTGTCATTGTACTGACTGTAACATGAACTATTTTCTTTACATTAATATGAATTCTGTAAATTCTTTGTTCAGGAATCTCTGTGTGTCCTGAATATTAATAACAACAACATCGATGATATCAGAGACCTGGCGGTGCTAAAGGAGCTCCAGCATTTTTCTGCTGCAGACAATAAGCTGTGCAGTATTGAGGTAAATATACGTTTTCAGGACTTACTTGATGTCATTCAAGGCTCCTGCTGCAGTGTGACTCAATTAGAAAGTGAGTGCACGTGAAGTCAAAGTAAATACTACCCCTTCACAGCAACTATGCATGCCTGATCAGGTCAGCATTAACATTGTTCCATGGCTTTCTGCACTGATGTGTGAAATGATATGGATAGCGGGGTTGTAAGGAACTAAATCCTGCAAATCCCGCCAGAGCTTCCCAGTCTCCACGACTCGCACAGGGTCAGAATTATTCAACAAATCAGCGAACCATTCCCCCGAGAATTTTCTCGCTGACAGCTTCAAACAAGCACAAGTTTCTCCCGTTCCTTGGAAGGTTGATTTTTCCTCTCTGCCTTGGAATCGTCTATTTGATGTCGCAAACCCCGGCTGTATCACTTTATGAGATTTATTAGACTCCCTGACGCTATGATGGCAATGATATCTCTGTTTAAACTTATCTGTTAACTGAAAAAGTTGATGGCTTTATTTGAAAGGGTGTAATTCTTGCTTCTTATTGGCATTTAATAGCAGGATGACGCAATGAAAGCACTTTGTAGTTGACTTTACTACCTTCTTAAAACAGGGGACTTTCTTTGGAGATCGTTGATGCAGGTAATTGTTGTACACGTGTCATTTTTTTTAGCAGATGTCTCCTATAATTTATACAACCCGTCTGCCACTATCGATTGCGCAAAGACAGCCCTCCAAAGGATCAATTTTTTCTTCTGCACCATTTGGTCAGAGTCCAGAGGAAACATTATGGATTTTTAAAATAGATTATGACAGGCAGTCAGCCCGGGTGACAAATGGGGAGCATCTTCTGAGGCAGTTAGCTGTGCGCGGGGCAGAGAGGACAGGGGGAATCGAAGCTCTGGTCAAATACAGGTTCATAACTGGCCCATCATTAGTGGAAGTGAGAGAGCCAGCCAAGCTCAGTGAGCATTCAGCCTCTGCTGTTCTCCACGCCCCCGCGTGGGGGGCAATTTGGCGCTGGGCTCCTCTTCAGTGAGGGCCTTCTGAGTGACGGCCCTGACACGATCATTTATCAAAGCCTGGGAGCGCGTGGTGCTCAGGGGTCCCCCTCTGAACTGATTGCGGCTCAAGCTGGAAAAGTGGAAGCGCTTTGGCCAAGACAGGAAGGCAATGAACAATCAGAGCGTGTCCAGAGAGTATTCATATTTCCAGGCTTGGATTAATGTGCCTTTAGATAAACATACAACTGCAGGCTACTCGCTGGAGGAGCCAGCCTCACACTGCCCCAGGAGAAAACTTGTAGTTACATGACACCGGCGACACTGTTTATTAAAACAGACTGATGTGTTGTTTATGCACTTTCTATTGGCCCTTATACTTCATATTACCATTCACTCACACCTTTCTTTTTTTCCCTATGATCATCTGTATAGCAATCATAAGATTGCATTATATTTGTTTTAAACAAACTGGGCTATTGTTTGATGTGTAGACAATAACCTTAGAGACACAGTGTTTCCAGTAGAATAATTAGGGATTCAGACACAACAGATTATAGCAGATTTCCTGCTCTGTGTTTATTTTCAGGAGCTAGAAGATGTGTTCAGCCACTGGCCTCAGCTGTTTCTAATGGATTTGAGTGGAAATCCTGTGTGTAAAAAACCAAAGTACAGAGACCGCCTGATAACCGTGTGCACAAGCCTCGGTAAAATAATAATCATTTGTTTGCTCAGTTCACTTCTAATTTGAAAATACGCTTTCATTATTTTGCTGTGACTTAAATTTAGGAAACACTCTTAAGGATAAAATCAAAACATTCACAATAGTTCATTTTATGTTTTTATTTTCAATGTTTGTTTGGTTAAAACATTTCTTATAGAGGCTCTTGATGGAAGGGAGATTAATGACTTAACCAGAGAGTTTCTTATTAACTGGAAAGCATCCAGGGAGGCCAAGAAGAAAAAAAATAATAAGCATGATGTCTGGAGCACTCATCCCTTATTCTCTAACAAGTAAGTTACTTTATTTGTACATTTTTTTAAAAAATCCACCAACCTTGTTTACAGTCATTTTTCCCTCCTGTTTTTGCTATTTAATTCTCCCTTTCGTCTTTGCATGGTCCATTAAGTCACTTCTTTGCTTTAGTAAGGCTACTGTGGATCTGCTAATATGTATAACAATACTGGAAAACCATACTATCAGTTTTTAGATTAATGTGAAAATCACAAAAAAGTCTGAATTGAGTTTTACATAAGTTCATAAGGCCGCTGGGTGACTTCACACCCATGCAAATTTCAGTAGTAGTAGCAGTACTTGGCTTTGTTTATATTTCAGATGAATTTAACATGGGTCAGGATCTGCAGCCTGGTCACAGCCACGCTAACATGCAGAGGTGGAAGCCACAGCAGTCTCTCAGGTCCAGTATCACAGTTTAAAAAAGCCTACATTTGGCACACCTATGTCATGACTTACTAAATTATTTAACTGCAGACTGAATCCAAATCATAAGTAATAACTGCTGATGGTAGGCTGACCCCAATTCTTAAAGTCCCCCCCTGCCTCCAAAAAAAGTGAACATTGCTAGAGAAATTCATATTTTATTGTAAGAGTCAGTTAGTTTTGCTTCATTCTCCTTCCTATCTTTTTTTCTTGAAAACCTGAAAGGAACCATCAGTTTTACTGATTTTACATAAGATTAAAGACATTTCAGTTTAGCCATAAAACGATTATAGAGATAATATTTATTTGTCAGCATTTGATTTTTTTTTCTCTCTCTCTCTCTTATCTTCCAGGGCAGAAAAATTCCAGTTCCTGTAAATAGCCTTGATCTTTTAGCTGTCTCATCAGCTGCCTGCAGTCATGTGGTTGCTTTAAGACAAACCTAAAAATGCACCAAAATCTTCAGCTACGACTAACCGTGCTTGTGCCTTGTTTATCCATCTTGATTATTATATCTGCAAAACTGCAGGCAACTCAGAGTCACTGCAGCTTCCTTCACCTATGGCATGTTTTTACAGCATATTCTAAAGTGATTTCATTATATTGAAATAATAAGTAACTAAAATTAATAACCATTGTGGGGGAAAATAAAGACATTTATCTAATGTTTTTTACAGCTGTTTTATTGATAATTGCTTTGTGTGTGTGTGTG